CAATTTTTGTTTTTGGTCAGTTGAAGAGTAGTCTTCAGCCCAATAACATTGCGATTGAGGAATTACTAGGAAGGAGCTGGATTCAACAGAAGCCCATGATGGCTAGCCCATGATCTATGCCTCGTTGAACAAGTGCAATAGCCGTTGAATATATCGACCGTTGCTTTCTAACATTACGTTAATGGAGGTTATGTGTCTTCACAATGAGAGAACCGAGTGGCCTCTCTCCTCCTGCGAGAGTCCTCTCCCTCTACTTTGGAGAGCTAGCCACCTCGGCACGATGTCTATTTTCAGCCCTCTGATTTCCTTTCTCCGCCATGTTCGTAGCCCATCTTTCTCCATCTTCGATTGTGCGACTCCACCTTTTACATTGCAAACATGATCCTCTTTACACCATGTTTCCTTTTTTTTCATAGTCGATGTAATTTCCTCATCCATTTCTGTCGCATGATGTTGTCGCTGTTTCTATTTTCATATCCATCCCGTCACCACTGTAATTTTTGTTGTATGCGTTTCCCTATCTTATTTCATCTTCACATTTCCGTCCTTTAGCCGTTACAACAATAGGTCTCAACCGCTTTTCTCTGAACTCTGTTTTTCTTGTTTTCCTATAAATTGCTTGTGCCCAGTTCGAGTCCTGGAAGCGGGCCCCTGGTCGATCATGGGGAACTGTCTTAAGCTGCAGAAGTGGGAGGCTCGTATGAGGATTGAGGACGTACGTTTTGATGAACCGGAAGTTTGGTTGCAGATTTATGGTCTTGCTTATGACCAGGCGACTGAAAATAATGCTGGATAAATAGCCAGATTGGCGGGGAGAGTATTGGTGACTGAACCAGTGAATCTGAAATCTAGGGGTCGATGGGGTTTTCTGAGAGTCAGGATCGCCCTGATCGTGCACCTTGCCCTTGTTGCTGGAACATGGGTTTTCTGCACGATCAGTGAGAAGTATTGGGTGGATCTGAAGTAAGAGTGTGTCCCTGATTTCTGTTGTATTTGGGATGTTATTGGGCAAACTGGTAAGAATTATAGGATGGCCAGTAATGAGACCACCTGAGATGGGGAAGGAGAATTTGGTGGTAGATGTGGACGGTCCTCTGTCCAAAGTTCCTAAGCAACCTATCAGACTTTCCAATGTTTAAAATCAATCTTTAAACCCTTTAAAGCCTCCTGCAAACTCTCATCCTAATAATTTTTTCGATATAAACAACATTCTAAGCTTTCTGAATGCATTCCCAAACCTTGTGTTAAAGATGATTAGGATATTTCCCTTAATACTTCATATCCCTCATAACTTTGTATATGTGTAGGTGATTCTCCATTTTGATAGGGTGTATCGCTAATCGAATCAGAACGATCACGCAGAGAATAGAAGAAAATTAAATGATGTACGAGTTTACCCAGGTTCACCCCCGAATAGAGCTACGACCTGCAAAGGGATTCCACTATGATTTTTAGGGCTTACAATCACAACAACTCGTTACTATGATCTCTCATACGAGTACAATATATATAGGACTTAAATGAGCCAAAAGCCCAAGCCTATCAAAATCCCTTTGATCCCACAACAAACGGGCCAACAAATCCGATGTTGTTTGAGCGAAACCCCTGCCCACTATCCGGTCAGCGGAACCCCCGTGTCGGGGGCGCTACCCCCGAACCCCCGCATTCCGTGCGCAGGTGTCACATGTCGTCGGATCATACTTCGATTTCCCTAAGCTCATGTGGGCGTGCCCGGTATGATAAACAAGGGTCCCCGAAGTATTCGTCAACTCCAACACATATCTCTCTTTGATTGTGCATATTCTTGATTAATCTAGTTACCTTAGATAATCATCTGATAAAGCATATAGATAGACCCGTGTACTCTTCATTAGAAAAAAAAAAATACAGAAATTACACAATTTTCTATTCAGCATATTTCGCATCTTCATTTATTCCCTCATTTGATGTCCCTTCTCAGCCTCAACCCTCTTGTTTTGACAATGTTACACCGCTGTTCTGCCCTGAACCTGATCCTATATTTTCCAAGTCCTCTAATCTTTGCATGCCCTCATCTGATTCCTGCTTTGAGCCTTCCCCTACTTATTATAACAATATTACACTACATTTCTGCTCCGAACCTGATAACACACCTTCCAAGCTAACTAATCCCTGCAATCCCTCATCTGATTTACCTGTTGAGCTCACTCTACATATCTCAAGACTGATATTTCACAGCTTTCTTCCTAAGGTGACTATTCGATGTACTCTTTTTCAGGATGGTATTGAGAAGGAGGGTGCAAAGGAGGGTTACAAAGTGGAATTTTCTAAAGAAGGAGCGGGGCGTGTGGCTTCTATGGGTGGAAATGAGAATGACGGTGCTCTAGTTCCACTCCATTTAACTCAGGCAATGATGGAACTGTCTTTGAAGAGGAAGGCCAATCAGGACGTGGAGGTTGGTATGGCAGTTAAAAAAAGTAGGGAAAGAGATTATCGAGGTATTGGGTAGGGGAGAGTGTGAAGAAAATCAAAATGAGAGGCAGGAAGAAAGTTGGAGCTCGAGCTAGGAGAGTGGTGAGGGTGAGGGAGGCACAACTTGAATGATAGATGGATGTGTTGATGAATGTTAAAATAACTGAAGCTGTGGGTTTGGAGGACGTACTGGATGAGCTCACTTCTGTCAATGGCAATGGTGGCTGGCCAGAACTAGCCACCAAGTCATTATGATTCTTTTGACTTCTAACTGTCAAGGGTGGAAGTCCCCCGTGACAGTTCGAGAGCTGAAAAGCCTCAATTGAATATACAAATCCTGCCTCATGTCCTTAATGGAGGCTGGAAAGTTTTAAGGGACAGTTGCAGATGGATAAAAGTTTTTATGTGGATCCTGTGGGTCTTTCAAGGGGCCTAGCCCTGTGGTGCAAGAGTGATGCAATTGTTCATTCTGATGTTGTTTCAAGCAACTATCTGATGACAACAATAATTCATCTTGAACTTGGAGGGTCCATTTCTGTTTCCTGGAGCTATTCCAGTCCTGGAATTTTCTAATAGACAACAACTCTAGGATATGTTCCAGGGGATGGCAGATTTGCAGCATAGCCCCTGGCTCTGTATTGGAGATTTTGATGATATTGATTCAGATATTGAGAAGCCTGGAGGAAGGTCGAAGGCTAGGAGGAACTTGAATGGGTTCAATGAAATGCTCCTTTAGATCGGCCGCAGGATCTTGGCTTTGATGGCGAGAGATTCACTTGGCGTATCGATAGAGAGAAGAAGGGCGGAGTTTAGGAAAGAATTGATACGGCTCTAGCTTCAAATAAGTGGACAATATTGTTTTCAAGAGCACTAGTCTTCCGTGAACGTGCTGTGGGCTCAAATCACTCTCCTTTATTGCTAGATACTTATTTTCGTGACATAAAGAGCACCAGGTTATTGAAATTTGGGTAGATGTGGACTGCACGTGAGCAATGTAAAGTAGTAATTGAGAAAGCCTGGAATGACTCGAGTGAGGGGCGAGGGCATAGGATGCGCCTGGGAACAAATTCCCAAAGTCCTTAAAAGGCCCATGGGCAAATGTTAAAAGTGTTTGGTAAACAATTTTGGGAACCCATTGGGAAAACGAATTCCTTAGATAAAGTCCTCCAAAGGCCTTTTTCTTGTGGCCACTACTCATCAACATTGGGCATTCGGCATTTTCAAAATGCTAGAGCCCATAACTAATGAAATTTTTTATGCCAATTTTGCCCTCGCCAATTTTTTGTATTCCTCTTTTACCCTAAAATATTGGCATTGTTCATCTCTCTCCCTCTACTCATTGTCTCTCTCTGAACTAAGGGCACGGTGTGAACCAATTCTAATCATCAAGGGACAGTCACCGAGGGTTGACGATCGATGGTCAGTCAGCCAAATGTAGAAGGTCGATGTGAGATTTGAAGAGTCGAGGCTTGTCGACGGTTGCCAACGACGCTCATGCTCACTTTCGAGCCTAATCAATGAAGTCGAGCAAGCCCTAGTCGATCGCGGCCGAGTTCGAGACTCGAGCCTCATCGTCCTTGTCAGAAGTGACTTGTTTGAGGTCACACAACCTCAACGTTGCTTTGTCTAGGGTCACGCGACCTTGGCGACTCTCTAAGGGCCAAATTTGGGTTGCTTGAGGTTGCGCTGGGTTGCATGACCTTAGCGGCCGGTCGTCTTGGGTTGCGTGACCTTGGTGATGGCCATGGCCGGACCATCTGGCTTCGTGTAAGTTGTGTCGCTATTGCAAGTTTTGCTTTTTCTCTTTTTTTTAAATCAAAGTCTTTTATGCAAACATTGTTTATCAAACACTATATACATTTCGTGAAAACCCTTTAGCTTAAAAGCAATTAGTGTTTACCAAATGCTATTTGCATTACATCAAAACCCTTTAACCTGAAGTCCTTTGCATTTACGCAAAGGCATCTCCCAAAAACTCTCCCAAATGCATCCGTGGAAGCTGTGATTAATAAGATTGGGAGATGCCCGGTTGCTCTTGCCCGATGGAGCAAAACATCTTTCCCTCGCAATGGTGAATTTTGACTCCATTGCAGGATGATGTCATAAGGGGGGGAGGATGACAGGGAGATAGAATTGGAGATCAGAAAACAAACAGCACTAGCTTGGGAGAGGCATGATAACAAACCATATATCTTCCGAAAAAAAGAGTATAAAAGGGTAAATCATATCAATTATTACTGTACAAATGATCCTGTAGCGAGTCATGTAATCATTCCTCTTTACGTAATGGAAGCTCCACAATTTAGAAGTGATCCTCCATTAATTTCTTATAGAAAATTTCTTTGTTTTCAATCAAATGCCAAATTATTTTCTTAAGAGGCTTTCTTCGTCGTGGTTACATTGTTCAAAGTTACATAAGAATTTAAGTAATTGGCTGTTGTCCAGAGATTACAATTCAGTAGATGGATGTAACCAAGAAAAAGATGCAGTTGATTACATAGAGAAAAATCCAGAATTCAACAGTCTCAGTATAATAAAAAGGGAAAAAGAAAAAGAGAATGCATGCATGATCATTGTTGAAATTTCTCATTTTCTGCTTTTCATTCTTCATTTATCTTCGGAGAAGAAGTGGTTGATGGCGGGCATGATCTCCGGTGGGCGAGTACGGAGGAACTTGCGGAGGCCATGCTCAGAGTATTTCTCTCCTTCTTCGCCGTTGTCTAGCACCCCCGACCTCCGATGAAGCTTGTTGATCCTGCGCATAACATTCGACAAATTTTCTCATTAGCGTCGGTGAATCAAATTCAATTATTACAGACAAATTTGTCAGCGAAGTATCCGAATGTACAGATCATGACACATACCTAACATCGGGGTTCAGAACAACGTTCCTTGTGAGCTGAAATACGCACATACCGGTCACAAAGGCCATCGCTGCCATCAACGGATACACCTGACAACGCAAAGGCGGGAGAAAGAAAACTTGTCAACCCAAGATGCAAATCGCCCTCGCCTTCAAAACCAGCTTCATCCGACATGACATAGACATGCACTCGACAGGTGTAATAGCTCGTATAGGCAAAGACACCTACATGTAAAGAATGAGTAAAACCGACACGGACACGGACACGGACATGCGTATCAATGTAAAAAGCAACCATGAACTTACTCAAAACAACGTATCTTCTAACGTATCTTTTAAGAGCGTGACATGTAGTTTACTCAATCAAGCAAAACAAGATGACCAACATCATCGTACCTCTGGCCTCACCCAACGTGCCATTGCAAAGGCGATCTCCTCTTTGCGCTCTCTCTCTCTCTCTCTCTGCCTCGTATGCCAAAAAGATATGAGACTTTCAAAGGTTGTGTACGTGGGATTAGGGAGGGTTCGAATGTTTATTTATACAGTGTCTCTTGAGAGGGAAGAAAGAACAGAACAGCCAGGAATTGGAAAAGTATCGAATGACTTGGCGAGAGAGGAAGGTTCGATGCTGGGCTCTTCTCGCCATTCCAGTGGGCTCGAAGTCTAACCTTTGACTCCAGCACTAAATACCAGGGGCTGAGCCTCCTGTTTTCTTTTGTTTTTCCTTCTTTCCTTATATGGTTTTCGCGTCTGGCCGTGCTCGTCAAGGCAACGAGTGACCGTGATGAATGTGACACCATTGTTAGGGTTTCAATTTGCTGTCGAAGCTATGGCTGCATGGAGTCCAACATCCTCCATCACTAAATTTTATATTTTGTCTTCTGCTGACCTTCCATGTGCCGGTATGTAACTTATCGGTTTTGTTTGAGGATCGCTTTCGAGTTCCAACATGTCTCTTGATAAGAAAAGAAGAAGAAGAAGAACCCCTAAATAATATTAGTGCAATATCTATATTTTATGAGCATTTATCAAGTTGGTTGCTTAGCTCCTTTGCATTTTTTTTTCTAAGTCGAACGAACAGATACTTAGCCATAAAAAAGTATTAGTTGCTTATTAAGATAACCAATAATTACAACAGGAGAAGAGAAAATGTGTAATGGATTGGTCGATGAAAGCTCACTCGAGCAACACATAATAGACGGAATATTACATTAAATTAACAAGGAAAAATTACCAAAAAGTCTTAAACCTGTTGTAATTGTACTAATTCAGTCATAAATCTTTTTTTTTGGCCAATTCAGCCCATTTGGCCAATTTTACCCGGCCGGCGTTGATGTGGACGTCGGCTGGTCGGCCGACACTGACGTGGACAATTTTTTAATAATATTTTATTTTTTTTCGATTTTTTATTAATATATTTTTCTTTTCTTTTTTTTTCTTTTTCCACCTTTGCCTTCGGTCGGCGAGGCCCTGGTGATGTGAGCGAAGGCGGCTAAGGCATCGCCAACCGCAGGCGAGGCTGACTTCGCCCCCAACCAGCAAGGGCTTCGCGGCCCTTGTCGGAGCCCTAAAAAAAAAGAAGGAAGAAAAGAAAATTAATAAAAAAAATTGAGTAAAATAAAATATTATTAAAAATTGTTATCGTTAGCGTATGCTAGCCAGCCGGCATCCACGTTAGCATTGATTGGACAAAATTGGCCGGATGGACTGAATTGACACATATGCCAAATGTTTACAACTGAATTGGCAAAAAACACAAAGATTTTATGACAAAATTGGCACAATTGCAATAGGTTTATGACTATTTTGGTAATTTTCCTCAATTAGCACATATGTATCAAGTGTCCATATATTTTTTTTTCTATTCATTGACTAATATTAAGAGTCAATATTAACTAGCATATCCAAAATATTTGTAAACCATGCTTAAATAGAACAACTTGATCTTTAAAATATTAATTGAATATAATACCAAAGAGTTCAACGCATTTCATTTTTTCTCGATAATCTAAAAGGGTTGTTGAAACACGTCACATATGATAGAGAGAAATCCATACATAGCATGAACCAAACGGGACGTGAGAAATCGAAATCAATACTAACTTGAAATTGAGTGGGCAGCCGTTTGAGCGTGAATGCATTTCCCATATTTTTTATAATTTGCGGACGTGAGATTCAGCAGGAATTTGCAGCTTGCGTTGGCGACGACAAGCCAAGTTGGCTGCGGGTTTATCCATTAAAGATAATTAGGGTTTCGTGGAGCATATTCCTTCGTACTGAAACTTGAATGATTCTGCTATGTTTATCGATTTGACGTGATGAGGACGTGGCAGAAAAGATCGCGACAATTGCAAATTAAACCTAAGGAAGAACGCACGAAACATTTCGGCGTATTAGGCAGAAATGCCAGTCTAACCACATAGTTTAAGCGTCTAGTTGGATGGATAAAACATTATATTAACTTTTCATAAGCGAGTGAGGTTGATCGAGATAGTCGTATTTGTTAAGCATATCAGACGGGACGGGTCGGAATTTCAAAATAGTGGTCACATATATCGTTCAAAAAGTTCTTTGACGTCTTTGCATTTTCGCTGCTTCTGCATTCTGGCGTGCGCTTTGCTCCGATCTTCGTTTGAGGCTCCACCCTTGAATCCTTACATCGATTCCGCAGTTTCGTGGGTCTTGTTGCCGACATCCTGCTTCTCGCCTGTCCGGCCGACCACCGGCGCCGTCGCCACGCCCACCGCCAATTGGGCCGCCGCTTTGAAGGAGGTTCGGCTCGGAGACAACAAGTCGTGTGGGCCTCGATTCGATTCTTTTCCACTTCACAAGGGCCTTTGGGCTTAGGTTTGTAATGGATTGTCCAAAGACCCTTTTCTTTAGGAAAAGAAAGAAAGAGAAATTGTTCACCAGATTATGGCCGGTGGGTACGACCCAAATCACTATTTGCTATACGCGGCTGTATCCCAATGGCATTTCCTCGACGTGTATATAATCTTTCGGGATAATTTCAAAAACATATATACACTTTTTATTCCAATATCAAATTGAGCCCTGAGTTTTGTAAATCTACAATATACTTTTCCAAACGAAATCCTTAAATTCAAAATGACCAATCAACCCTCAAACTCATCCAAATTTTAAACCATTCCCTCTTCTCTCTCTCTCACACCCACGCTTGGCTCTCTTCATCTCCCTCTTTTCAACCATGGTCGGCTTTAAGCTCCGGTCGAGCTCGAGGGATCTGGATCGAGCTTGTCTCGAGCTTTGTCGACGTCAAGTGGAGCTTGACTCGAGTCGAACTTGATGTTAGTGGAGCTCGACAAGTTGCGGCCCAAATTGGGGTGGCGGTTCAAAGTGAACGGCGGTGCAACGGGTTCGGCAACGCGGGGAGGGAGGGGCGACTGTGTTTGGATTTTCGGCAAGTGGGCTTTTATGGTGGTTTTGAATTGGGGAGAGAGGCAAAATTGAAAGGAAAATGGAAAATTCGTAAATAGGATCATATGTTAGATGCAACTTGGAATGTGAATGGTAAGTTTTCAAAACTCAAGATGCAAATTGATGTAAGATCGAAACGTGACAGATCCCTTTTGTTGCTTTCCTTAATTTTTATTTGCTTTACAAAAATATTATACATGTGAAATCCATCTAAGTCCGACGGTTTAGATACATGCAAGATGCATCGGATGATTCGGATCCATCTGATGACTTTTCTAAGCAAGCCCCCGTTAACGAGCGCCCGGAGATGGTCTTCAAGAGGTCGTTGACAGTTGAGCATCTGCTGCAACCGGCAGGGAAACTTCCATTGCTGCTGTGCTGTTGCCAAAACCAACCCTCGGACTGACTGATTATGAAGAGGAGACACTGTACGGTGGATACGGTCTCAATCCAAAAGTTGTCTTGTGAGAAATTCGGGGAGGATAAGGAAAAAGTACACAGTCGACACAACAAAATGCTTCTCTTAATTTAAACACTGAAAGACTTCGTGAAAATGTTTCCCTGCCTCAAACCCTTCGTAATACGCCTGGAAAACTCTATGCATACTACTCCGAGAAAGTCTACAATTTCTGATAAACGTTTGCACCGAAACAACAATCTTTCCACGACATAATCCCACTTTCTGACTTATTTACACCAAGAAGTTCTTGAGATTCAAGGCCTAAGGGGCTTCTCAAGAACTGCAGAGAAGAAAAACTCATCCTCCGACTTATCACTCTTGGGCACAACCCTCCACAGCAGCTTCCTGTACCTCAGCCTCTCGAACTCGTTCACATACATCTTCACGTCTTCCTTCTTGCAGAAGAACCGGTCCACCCAGAGCAACCCCCTCGGTCTCAGGACCCGGTCCCAATCGAACAGCACAAACTGAAGCAGCTCGGCGCCGACCCACCCGTCCAGGAACAGGCTCGAGTGCACGATGTCGAGCGTGTTGTCGAAGAAGGGCAATCTCGAGCCGACCGAGATGTAGAGCGGAAGCAGACCCCTCAGCGCGATCACCTCGTTGAAGGGCGCCCCGAGGTTCAGTGTGGCTGTGGCGACCGTCACGTTCTTCTCCCTCATGAGGGCGGCAAAGCTCCCTGTTGTCGGGCCAAAGTCCAGCCCAACCCGGATCTCCCCGGGCTTCAGCGCAAGGACCTGGTCGATGGTGAACTCGGCCAATTCCGTCTTGTTGGCTGGCACTTCCCACCTTCGCTTCGAGAGGTCAAAGCAGTCCGAGCACTTGAAGAAGCCCCTTTTGTTCACTGTTTGATTGGAGAGGAGGCATTGATAGTCCTTGCACTTGTAGTTGCTCCACAATATGTTGACATCCCTAGGCTGAGTCCACAGAGAGTTGCTTGAGGGCATTGGCATTGTGTAGTTTGGTGGTGTTCTTGAGAAGCATCTCCTTCTGGGCAATGGGTCACAGCCACTGATGATGAGCCTCTGAGCCAAGTCCCAATCGTCTGGGCACGTCCCGAATAACTTGTAACTCATGAACCGGTCTAAGTTAGAAGCCATGGCTGCGCAGGCCATTCCTATCGATGGATTAACTGCTTCGACGCCGAGAAACGTCTTTTTGCCTGCGACCCTGTTCGGTTTAGGTGAAGTGTAATTCTTGAGCTCCCCTGCCATGAAGACATGATTGCTGATGAATTCCTCCGATGCATCTGCTTTGGATTCCTCTGGATCGCTTGAATCTTCATCAACATTGCTCATTTCGGTGGCATTAGCTGGCAGATTGCTCACGTGATGTGATAGGCGAGTGGCGAGCTTGTCCAAAGCCACGGCGATGCGGATGACTTGATCGGAAAACTTGGCCAGGGATTTCGCTTCCTTGGTGTCGGAGTGAATCTGCTCTAGCAACACGCCGACTTGCGTTTGCAAGTCGAAGATTTTGCCGTGGAAGGAAAGAGGTAAAGGAGGTTGTTCCTGGTAGATTACGGTCGTGGTAGGGAAGACGTTCCGCGGGAAGTAGATTGTCGAACCTAGGACGATCAGTGTAAGGAGGCTGATGAAGAAGAGAAGGCACAACAGTAGCCTGGGAAGATTGGTTCCTGGAAGCCATTTCAATGGCTTGCCTAAATTTTGTTTCAGCATTTTTGAACCCAAGTTTTTTCCTTTACTGCAACTCAGTAGTGTTCCTATTTCAGATGTTGACTATGTAGATACCATAGGTGAATATTTTACGTTTGATCTTTCCAAGACGCCTGATTTTCAGCCTAACACGCGATTCTTTGGACCACAAAGCTAGGCAAAGCTTCTTCTTCTGCACGGCGCTAGAGCAATAATTAATGTTTTCCAAGGGTTCCTTTACCGGAGCCGTAAGCAAATTTCTGGATTGGAGATCAAAATTGAAGTAGATGAACCAACGGACTGACGCCAACGACATCGATGAAAGCTTTTAACTTATGTCGAAGTGAAGTCCAGAAAATTCTTCCCTTGCTTCCTCCTCTATTACAACAGCTCACTAACAGGAATATATAACATTGGAAGGGACGAGACTCCGCTGGATGTTTGACGTCGAAACATTCACATTGTCCATTGATGGAAACATAACGCAAGAAGAGGAATTGATTTGATTCAACCCTCTCTGTTTTCTGCTTGCCTAGTTGAGCGTCCTATTTGGGATACCATGGTTATACACCCCCAGATGTGACCTTTTGCACTGCCAGCCAACCAGTTCCCCCAAAAGATGTGCAAGGTAGCAACTGTGACTTTGACTTGATTTTTAAAAAGCGGGGCGAGAAATCTTGCAATCCAGCGCCAGTACAGAAAACTTGCAAAATCATATTCCTCAAAAAAGTGAGACACATGCATTGTCCCCAGAAAGTGGGCAACAGAAGGCACCTGAAATGGAAGTTTAGGACAAAATCAAGAACCAGTGAACCATTTGAATTCGAGGAAGCACCTCAAGTGATTCGTCTGGTCTGAAAATAGAGAGCGCTAATGTTGTGAAGCATCCTTTTGAGCATAGCACAAGATCAAAAGAGAAGCCCATAAAGGAGTCTATACAGAACTCTTCATCGTTTTCATATTCAATATCTCAGCAGCGCCGCGAAAAAACAACACATTGCTTTTCTTTCGGATGGGCAGGAAAAAAAATATGTATCTGTCATCTATCCTTGCAAATGACAGAAGGCACATCTGTCTTCCATCTAGATATCTCAATTCATTCGTCTAAAACCCATTCACAACTCTCTCAAAATTGCTCGCATATTTACTGTCAAGGACAGCATAAATAGGGGAGCAGTCTAAACCTTTATATGCTTTACAGACTTATTCCTCGTCATCAGTGTCGTCTTCCTCGGTATTGTCCTCCACTTCCTCCTCACCCTCCACTTCTTCTTCCTCATTACGACAACCCACCCTGCCTCTTTGGCGTGATCTGGCATAATCCTCAAGTGATGAAGAGGGAAATATATCTCCCACCTTGTTTGCTTTCTCAGTGGCAGATTTCTCTGAATTATCATCTTTCCCTGAACTATTATCTTTTGACTTGTTCATCTGTTAAAGGGATGAAAGAAAACAACACTGAGGATGGTTGTGGCGAAAAAAAAAAATAAATGCAAATGCAAGTATAAGCAGAGTATAAAGGAACACAATAGAAGGAACAGTACTAGTCTAAACCCGAAGTCACTATTCAGAAATTTGACTGTTTTCGAGACTTACACTCTTAAGTAGGCAATGATGTTGGACTATTCCTAACGCTTGCAAACCAATACAAGGAGCATGCCAGAAGAAATTTCAAGTAATGCCTCCTAAATGCATCGCAAAGCCACAATAATTGCCAAAATAAATCAGCTAGGGAAACTTACAGCACGAAGTAGAGTTCTTCTATCCCTTTCTCGAGCATTCTTAATTGCCTGTAAAAATGGTAGCTATCTCTTTAGAAGTGAAAGTTGATTGGCAAAAGAAAATGCAAAAAGGTTCTCTCGGATCTCGAACAAGAAATGAAAAGGGTTTTGTGAACCGACCTCCTCAAGTGCTTTTTGCTCTGCTTCCACTTCGGAAGAGTCTCTGAAGGAACATAGAAAATAAATTCAGTTCCATTTCAAAGAGGGCGAAGCTCGAAAAACAAAACACAATCCTCAATTGAGTTTCAAAAGACAAACCACCTGCCAACTAAATTGTCGACTCGGCAACGACACTTAGCGCACACATTCTGCTCCTTGGCACATCCTAAATCAGCATCAAACCTCCATGAATGCAAGTAAAACAACACAACCTTTCTACACCGATAAATTCGCTGATCGACAAGTTTTGGCGAACCGATGGCCATTCAAGTTCAAAGAAACTGGCACAAATGCACACAAACGGAGCCGAAACTAACCAGAGCAAAGATTGTGGTACGCTTGACGAACAGCCCTCCTACAGCACTTCTGACTACAACAACATTCAGGACAAAGAAACGATTTTTAACCACTTCGCAGCAAACCAACACGAGCAAACACGCCAAAGAAACGATTTTTAACACTTCGCAGCAAACTAACACGAGCAAACACGCCAAAGAAACGATTTTTACCACTTCGCAGGTTCAGTGAGGGGCTTATACTTGCCGTAGCGGCGTTTCCACTCGATCTGCTCCTTGCACCGAGGGCAAACTCCGGTGACCTCGGAGTAGGGCCGGAACCTCCCTCCGACTTCCTGAATCGCAACCGGCAATCAAAGCTAAGCCTCACCCCCCCATCCCTCTCGATTCAACAAATTAGGGATCCGAATGGCGCGAATTGACCATCGGACGGACGAAGGAGCTAGGGTTTCCGATTTACCGTCTCATTGATCTTGACGCCGGCGTTGGGCTTCCAGGCGTAGGCGTTCCGGTGCTTCGGCGGGCCACGCCGACTGCTCATCTCCTCTCCTCCTCCTCCTCCTCCTCCTCCTTCTGCGATGAGCTCGTTCTGCAGGGCGGCTCCGGCTATGAGCGCTCAAACTGCACAGTGCATGGAGGCTGCTGAAGCATTTTTTAGGTCAAAGCACATGTTCTATGCACCTTCATATTCGTACAACATTTTTTTTTTTTTGAACTTAGCAACTTAGGAACTTTTTAATTTAATGACGTCAATAATGTATAGGTTTCGATCGAGTCGGATCGTGTTAACACGATTTAAGTATCCAGATTTTCTCAGATCCGAGCTGCATAACTCGAGTCTCGATGTCGTACTTTAATCGATGGGGAAAATTCGAGTTCGGCTTTATTCGATATTAATTTATTTGGGTAAAGTCGGCTATTATATTTGATTGAGTTTACGAGCGGAACGAATCGAGTACTATCAAATTCGGGCTCGCCCAATCCTAAGATTTGAATAGTGTTCGAACTTGATAAGAATGTATATGAGTTGAGGTTTTGTATATTTGATGAGCTCAATAGCACATGAGTTGCTCTCCTCGTTTTGTAGATCTGGCGGTACAAATTACCTTCGTAACCATCATTCATCGTATGCCACATTCATTACGTTGTATAAGAGAAAGTCGATGTTCAAATTACAAATTTGGGCATCCTTTCAGTGATTTTATGAAATTCATAAGTTTCTACTCAATAAATTCGTCCCAATTTATAAGCTAATTTAAAGTTATTGTGCATGCATTCTTGCGTGTAAGTCAATGCATATCGATAAAACGTGATATAAGTGCGTCATAAGCCAAACTTATATCTGAGAGGCGATTTAGTTTTAAAGTTTTCTCATCATGAAATTAAATTCCAAAACTTACAAACATTGTATCATCAAGTATTTTCACGGGATCCGTAGATTTTATACGGTCATAGAATCAAGAAATTCGTATCGAGTGCCACGGAAAAATGCTTCCCATCACTCGAACGTATCGAACCTAGTAAAAATACTTAAGTTGTTACCCGCCGCCCACAAATTTTAGAACTCGACCGCGTTATCCCAAAAGTTCTAATACAGTTTATGAGTATTGCAGTCCTGATGCAAATTTGAAGGCTCTTTGATACCTTCATAACGTACGACACACATTCATTAGACAAACGTACGATACATTCGACAGATTTACTTCGACAACGATGTGGAATCGCCATTGCTTGATCCCTCCGAACTCGTAGCCTCCATGTCTCCGAAGATCGATCTGCACTTAGCTGACTGCCTTTGTAACGAGAAGAGACATCATTTGCGTGCATCGAATCATTTTGGATCATGGATTGAAGGGTCCAAAGGCGCAGGAGACCATCAACAAGGACACTTGGTGCGGCAATACCGGTCACAGCGTGGCGGCGGGTTTTTACGTGGAGGGCAAGGCGTGTACCGTCCACTCTTCAACAGACGGCCGCAGCCGGCGATGTTCCGGACCAGAGGAGACCCGCCCCCGGCGGCCGCCAGGCCGGCGCCCAGCACGCCCGGATCCGCCATCCACTCCAGCTCCTGCCGCAGGTCGGCTATCCGGCAGCCGGCCGCGCCGGCGTCGCACGGCGGCGGCGGGGCTGCGGATGGGACGACGGAGGAGAGGTTGCGCCCGGGCGGCCACGCCGCGGCGGCGGCTCGACACGGGAAGGAGAGGGCGAGGACCGACAGGAACGGAAGGAGGAGAGCCTTGTTCAGGTCGAGCGCCGCCATAGGGGGAGAGGATATCGAAATCCGGCTGCCGTGGGGTTCAATGTGGGGGAGGCACGCGTGCTGGAAACGATGGGGGATTTATAGACTCTTTAAAAGGGTTCGCGAACAACCAGTCCGTGTGAAGAACTCGCAAACGACTTGTAAAGATTCGTGGCTAGTCTGCTTTAAGTCCCAGAACAATAATTGCCCCACCAACCACGCACATGGCTGAAGCATGCACGATTCATCGATGCGAGAGCCAAGGTCCCAACACACCCCCAGGTGTCGGCCGGCTGGGGCAGCGCTTTGATTTGAATGCAGCAGATCGCGTATATTGGGTTCCAGTCCAACCCCACGATCCCCCCCGCGCACATGGCTTCAGACCATCTCCACTACCGCTAATGCGCGAACTTCGCAAGCGGGCACGATTTCGAGTGCTCTCATTTTCAGCTCACGCGAAGCAAAAACTAACTTCTTTTGCCAATTGGCTGAAGCAGACGCGATTCATCAACATGAAAGCCAAGTCCCGACCCCCCCCAAGGTGTGGGTTTCAATGTAGCAAATCGTATATCGTGTTCCATATCGCATCGACCCGGAATGATCTTAGGGCTCAGGAATGTCGTCTCGTGGGTGGAGTCTTATCTGGTGTACATGGATGAGATGCTTTGCATGGATCGACGGTGATGAGGTGGATTGGAAATCTGAATGTCTCCTTACGGCAAATGAGCCCCATGCATGTTGGGCTCGATCTCAACGTTGGTCATAACTGAATGAGGCACAGAAGATAGAGAGAGTAAGAGATAGTTGGAACTGAGAGGGGCAAGGGAGGGAGAGAGGGCGGAACTACAAGAACGAGTCGGCACGTCTTTATCGTCGCTCCCGAGGAGGGTTGGAGGCATTAGTAGTTCGACGGTTGTGGTGCGAACTTCCAGGCACACTATTTTTCCATTGTCATTATTGCGATCATCCCGACAGGCATGTCGGGAAAAAGACGGGTTTAGAGGTAATGTCGAGTTGAGGACTAACGGTCATCAATCGGCACGGATTTTTCCAAACCCTTACCTTGCGGGACGTTAGGGTAGTGGTTGAAATTTATTTTTCTATGAAGTCCAACCTAAATGGAAGTCACCACTAGCCTATTGGGCCGGCCAAAAGCCAAGTGAGTGGAGGATACACTTCCTAGGCAATCAGAGATTTAGGGTCGGTGACTTGATTACACTAATTGTCTAACTAATATCCTTTTGGTACCCTAAATTGGTTGGTTTGTTACCAAAATGATGCCTTCGACCATTTTATTGACCCGTGCCACTAAACAGCGTTCGTGCATGAGTGCGCAATCAAGGAAAAATAAACAAACACAATCAATACGATAAAAGTAAAGTGTACGGAAGTAAATTCAACAAAGTATCGAATAAAAAATATACATGGCACTATTATTAAGCCCTAGGACAGCAACCCCTATGAATTAAGTTCAAATTGAGTCCAACTTCTTACCTAAAAGATCGCTGTACTAAAGCTAAACTATCATCAAAGGTGCTCCCTAAAATCCCAAAAACTAAAGGCATGCTAACTAAATAAAACTGAGCCGCACCTAGCCTTAAAATAAAACAACCTAATCAAACTTGCTTCTAAACTATTTTGGAATTTTTTTTTTGAGCTTTTAATTAAATTTTGTTATTCCAAAATGGGGACTGGGCCCTTGGGCCCGGTCCCTACGTAAAAGGACAAATTGGAGTCCATGGAAGTGGGCCAAGTTTCCGGGCTCAGCCCACATGCAATAGCCAAATTTGGGCTACATGAGGACACGTTTGGGCTTTTATATGAAACCCAATTTCAAAGCAATTCGAGCCCAATCCAAACATCCACAAACTAAGCCAAGCCCAGGTCTACCAAAATATAACTTTAAACCCATTACCTTAAAAAACCTCCAACTTTCGCCCCAATCTCAATTCCACCCTAAACTTTTTTTACTTGTCTCATAAAAAAAACCCTCAACTTTAGATGAAATCTCAATTCTATTCTAAACTTTTTTTGTCACATGAAAAACCCCCAACTTTATGTCCGATCCAAATTTTACCCTAAATTTTTTTTTCTCATAAAAAATCCCCAGATTTAGGTTTAGTTTCAATTCTATCCTAAATTTTTTTTGTCTCATAAAAAGTCATCAAGTTTTACTTGAATCCTAAATCTGCCCCCCCACTAACCCTTAGTCCAAAATCGCCTTTTAGTGAACTCACGTGACATTTCCATGTCATTGTTCTAGTTTTTCTCCAAATTTCAGATACAAGAAGATTTACAAGCTAATTTGAAATTTCTGCGCATACATTCTTGCGTTTACTTCAATGCATATCGATAAAATGTGGTATAAGTGCGTCACAGGTCAAAACTTATATCCGGGAGGCGATTTACTTTTAAATTTTTCTCATCGTGAAATTAAATCCCAAAACTTACAAACATCATGTAATCAAGTATTTTCGCTGGATCTGTAGATTTTTATATGGTCATAGGATCAAGAAATTCGTATCGAACGCCATCGAAAAATTCTTCCCTGTCGCTCAAAAACTAACGAACCTAGCGAAGATACTTAATTAGACGCCGCTCACAAATTTTATAACTCAACTGCATTATCCAAATAGTTCTAATACAGTAAGTACTGCAGTCCTAATGCAAAATTTGAAGGCTCTTTGACACATAACATTCCAAAAAATCGTTCTTCGAGAAAGATAGAAAGCCCTTCATTCTCCTATCTAACGTGGATGAAAATAACAGGAATGCACCCACCTGCGCATGGCCGAGTTGGTGGGCGCTTTCCTTCCCTCAGAGAGGTTCTGGGTTCGAATCCCCGCTCGGTTTCGTAATTTAAGTGGAACTCAGCTGAGTTCTTGAATCTCTAAGTATAGTCTGATTCACTGTGACTCGTCCCGGAATGGTGGCGGATCATCATTCCAAAAAATAAAATAAAATAAAGGGAATGCTTGTTATAACACATGTCAAACCGATGCAACATTTATTAGACAAATGTACGATACATTCGACAGATGTTATTCGACAACGATGCAGAATCGCAATTGCTTGATCGATGCCTCCGAACTCGGAACATCCCGTGTCTCGGAAGATCGATCTGCACTAGCTGACTGCCTTTGCAACGAGAAAAACAAAAAATAAAAAACACATTATTGCGTGCATCGAATCGTCTGGATCGTGGAGGGTCCAAAGGCGCAGGAGACCATCAACAAGGACAACTGGGGCGGCAATACGGGCTGCAGCGTGGCGGTGGGTTTTCTTCTGGTGTGCAAGGCGTGTACCGTCCATTTGGCAAGTTGCGGCGCTGTTCGAGTTCAGAGCAGACCCGGTCCCGGCAGCCGCCAGGCTAGCACCCAGCATGCTCGGATCCGCTATCCCCTCCAGCTCCGGCTGCAGGTCGGGTATGTGGCACCGGGCCTCCCTGACGCTGCATGGCGGCAAGGCGGCGGCGGCGACAGAGAGGTTGCGGTCATGAGGCCATGTCGCGGCTCGACATGGGAAGGAGAGGGCAAGGATGGACAGAAACGAGAGGAGGAGAGCCTTGTTCAGGTCGAGCTCCATAGCGACAGGATGTCGAATCAGTTGCGGTGGGTTTATGATGGGGAAGGGATGAAACGGAGGTCACCGACAGCGTACTGGAAACGATGGGATTAGACTTTAAAAAAGGTGTTCACGGGTCGTGCCTACCTGGGTCCTCGAGGAAAGCGACCTAAAGTTAGATTAATCGAAATAATTCATCACGTAGGACCACCATTATTGGAGATGTATTCAATTATTGCATATAAAGTTGATTGAAATCGGGTGGGCGCGCGGTGTCCAAGAACGTAATTGCTCGCCCGGACTCACTCATTTCGTCCTTCGAGCCCGAACCCGGACGGGATCGGTATGCCGCCGGGCAGATACCTTCTAATGCGACTGGTAAGATGCTATGAACTACTTTTGTCCTAGTGCTCCCCACATCGGCAAAGTGACCGCTGAAATATCCTTCTATGTTTGGATTGTTTCTAAAAGCATGATATATGGTAGAAGGAATCCAGTACCTGCAGATATCAAGGCTCATACATGTAGCAATCGGAGGATTAGATGTTAAAGCTTTGTGCTTGATGTAGCTGAACTTTGCGTCTCAGGTGAAGGATTCAAGATGGCCTTCTGGCTTTGTCAGTGATGTGAAGGAGAATGGTCGTTGCTCAAGTGTTCGGGATCTGTGTGAGAAGTGAGAAATCGTGACACTTGAAGATGCTATCGTACGTACACTCTAATCGAATGCGTTGACCTTAGAAGACGTATGCGGGATGCATACATTAAACCGATAAGTCCAATTACAATTGCAGTTTGCGGTTACTAAAATCCTCAACAAATACAGATCTACGTGCAAATTCTTACAGTTGACAGTTTGGGGACCACCAGGTTGGAACAGAAGGAAGCGGACACTAGCAGACGCAATTTGGAACGTTCATCAACAGTGAGGGTAGTTCCTGTTGAAAATGTCACAACGTGGTTTCCGGTTCGGCAGTGGAACACAGCGCGTGTACCGTTGCTGGCCGCCGCCTCTGCCACATCTGGCGGGGCCTTGGACTAGAGTCGTGTGGAGGTCGAAACCGTTCGAGCCCGCGACGAGCTCCAACTCCGGTTGCTGGTAAGCGATGAGGCACTCGGCTGCGCCGCTGATGCCATTGCACGGCGGGGGAGTGGCGGTGGCGTTGAGGTCTCCAGGTGCGGCTTCGCAGGAGAGGCCAACTGTCAACAGATACGAAAGGAAGAGAGCTTTTTTCTTCAAATTGAGTTGCATGGTGGTGACTTTGGCCCGTCCTTTTCAGTGTTCCCTAAGGACTGGAAGAGCTCTCAAAGATGATGAGCCTCTGTTTGTGCCTGTGTTCGTGCGTGTGTGGATATAAATAGAGGACGGTGAGGGAAAATGAGATCAAGGAAAAATGACATAAATAATTGTTAAACTTTGGTCCAATATGCAATATTATCCTGAACTTTAGTCCAGTGTTCATTGGCATCCCGAAACGTTTAATTTATCCGATGTGATTCCTAAACTTTTGGTACATATTCAATTTAGCCTATGGACTATAGGAAAATGTTCGATATAGTTCTTTCATTAATTCAATTTTAGGGACAATATTGAACATTTTCATATAGTCCAGGGACTAAATTAAACATGTACCAAAAATTCATGGATCACATTGAACAAATTAAAAGTCCAGGGACGATATTGCACATTGGACTAAATTTCTGTGATCATTTTGAACAAATTACAAGTTCAGGGACAACATTGTAAATTTGGCCAAAGTTTGAGGACCATTTGTGTAATTATTTCTAAGGTCAATAGATGACTACCCCTCGCGCTCCATCAGCCTATCGTTCAAGATAAACAAAAAGATAAATGAATTTACATAATAATAAAGACAAGAGTATCTGTCGTGACGAAGCGGCAATAATGCGCATTTCCTATGTATTTATTTGGGAAGATTGCAACTTTAAATCCTAAACCTTATGTAAGACATCAATCTAGTCCTAAACCAGTTCAATCGAGTCCTAAAACTTGATTAGAAAATACAATCGAGTCCTAAAATTTTCAATTGATTTGATTAAGTCTTAAAACATTGTTAAAAAAATGCAATCGAGCCCTAAACCTCGTATCGAAATTGTAATTTAGTATTTCTCATCCAAAAGACTTTGATTGCACTTTTTAAAAAAGATTCAGGACTTGATTGAATCAATTGAAAGATTTTAAGAATTGTTTTTTGTATATTGTTGACACCTAAATTTTGCCTATTCATTTAGGGTTTAATTGTATAGAAAATTAGGGATTGATTTTTAACCCCTAAACAAAAATATTTTCGTTAAATTACATGGCATATAGATGTTAGGCGCATTTGCATTAGTAGAATTTAGTGAAACATATTTTCCTTTTATTTTATTTCATTTTTTATTTTATGAAAAAAAAATCATCATTATAAAAATTATAAAAAAAAAAGAAAAGAGAGAAAGACAGAAACGTGATCTCTTCCCTCTCCCTCCGGACACTCTACCCACGCTTTCACAAAAGAAGCAAAAAGGAAGAAAGGATACAGAAGAAAGGGCTCGGCGTGTTTTCATGAAAAAAAAAAAAAAGTAAAGCTGATCAGAAGAGACAAAATAGGCAGAAGCTCTTCTTCTTCCTCTCGGTCAACACACGTCCAGGAGGGATTAAAAAAAGAGAGAGAGAAGACAAAAGAGGAGCTTTTCCCCACGGGCAGCTCACCCTTCGCACGCGCATTGAAGAGAGGCAAATGGAAGGAAAGGACAAAAGAATGGAGAGTTTTAGGGTGTATCACTAAAGGAGAAAGTGGGACGTCCAATGCAGAGAAAGACAAAAGAAACCCAAAAATGGACTGTCACGCTCTCTCTCTTTTTGGGTTGCCGCAGTACATGTCACAAAAAGAGAAAATGGGGTCTGCATACACAGAAAAAAGACCGAGAGGGAGAGAGTTTTCTGGAGACGAGGAGAGTTTGACTAGGGGGAGAACAGAGAGAGATTCGGAGGGAAAGAAGAAACGGAGAGGGAGTTGAAGAAGAACCGGAGAGGTCCGAGGCTTGCCCGCTCGCCGGAGGTTCGCCCGAACCGTCGCCGAATCCCCCCAACCGTAACGCTTCGCTCCGGTCGGCTGCGAACCAGGTGGGTCTCTCTCGGCCTTCCCCTGTTTCGATCTCCTTCCCCTGCCTCTCGGGTGCCGGGCACACCGAGCTTATTCAGTGGTCGTCCGGCCCTGTCGACCGAGGCAAACATTTTTTTGGCAACCAGTGAGGATGGTCTAAACGTTATATGTTGAGAATCGACCATAAAATCCGTCAAAATCGGATCTGTGGCTCCATTTTCGGGTTGCACCACACATGTTCGATGAAGTGTCCAAACGAGGAACCAAATCGATTTTCGCGAATCCATGCTTGGAACTTGTTTTTTTACGCTTGATTAGTTCTCATATATGTTGAATGGTGACTGCAATCTGTGTTGTTACGTGGCTTTGTTGCGACATGCACTTCGTCCGAGTCGGCCGTGTGTACGCGTTCCTTCGCGGAGGAGCCACTCCCTTGCCAATAAAGCCTACGGTTGAAAGCCGTCCTTGTTAGCTCCCTGGCCTTCCCGCTCCTGCACAGGAATTCTTGTTTTGTTTGTTGGTTTGTTTGCTGTTGGTGTGGTCTTAGTTAGTGTCGAAAATCGGCCGCCGATGTTAGTGGTTTGGTGGCCGGAGAGGTGGCCGATGGGGGTGATTCAGTGACAGCTGCGGTGGCCAACGGTTAGGGCGTGAGCCCAGTGGCGGTCGTTGGCATTGGCGGCCCGTGCCGGCGGTCGGAGTGCCGAGGTGAGAGTCACGTGGAATACATGCAGGCGTGAGGAAGTCTCGGTGAAGGGCCACCGAAGAAGAAGAAGACTCCAGCAAGGAAATGCTCGTGGGGAGAGAGACCAGAAAAGACAAAAGAGAAAAAAAGAATAAAGAGAAAAACAAAAGAAAAAAAAATAGAAAAGAAATTGCTAAAGGGGGGTTCCGAGCAGGTCAGAGAGAACCGGGCCGGGCGGACGGGTCGAAACCGGGTAGGGTTTTGTGCTTGGGCTGACTTTAGGTTTATTGTGTTTTAATGGCTTTGGGCTCTTCTTGGTTCGTTTCGTGAATGGGCTGATTTGGTCAATTTGGGCTGAAGTGTTATTTAGGTTTTCATTTATAGTGGGCTGGACCTAGGTGTTTTTAATTAATTGTTTTTGGGTTGTAGTTTTTTTATTCCGAAGTGGGCCTTCGCCGCGCCCGCCTCGCGGCGGACCCGGGCCAGCACGCCCGGGTCAGTCCCGATCCGGTTCGGATGTGGAGATCCGACCCGGATCCGATTTTTATAATATTTTAATATTATTTTTATTATTTTAATATTAAAAAAATTAAAAAGAAAAATTGCAAAAAATATATATATTTTACCCGGGTCGGATGTGGAGATCCGACCCGGTCTGTTTTATATTATTTTAATATTTAAAAAGAAGTTCAAAAAACAATTTTTAAATTTTTTTTTAAAAAATTATTTAATTTAAAAAAAAAAATCGAAAATTAAAAAAATGTTATTTGGGCTTTGGAATTGGCTTTTCTTGCCCCTTTTGCGTGATTAGCGTCATGTTTAATCGCACATTGCCTGATTCACACACTTTGAATTGCGCATTCAATTTAATCTTGCATGTGGCTGATTATGCACGTTAAGTTCAGGCATTGATTGTTGCTTCTCTTAACTTGGTTAGGAATGAATTTTTGAGACTCTCAATTAGTGTGAACACGTTGGGTGGTGAATTGAGCAAGATTAGGTACCGAAAGGGCACTAGTTGTTTAATTAGTGTAATCAAGTCCCCGTACCTATTGAATCTCTGGTTCGTAGAAGTAAAGCATTTCTCCCGTGTTTTACTTGAGTGTCTAGTCGACCCACCAAAAACTGATTAGTGGCGACTCCTAGATGAAATTGATTTGCATGTTAACAACTTAAACTTAAATCGCGAATTGGTATGGGCTTGGGAGAGCTCGAGCTAGGTTTAACTTAGTAATCCATTAGCCTAACCCCTTAGGCGGCGGGGCCGGTTCGGGGAGGTCACGACATATATACAAGATTTAGAATTTACGATGCACTTTTTCGTAATTATTTCGAAAACGGAAAGTGTCCATCATTTCCATGTGATGGTCTGCTTAAGTCCAAAACTACTGTCCCCCACGCACATGGCTTCAGACCATCTCCGCTAAAGCCTGAGATTCGCAAGCAGACACGATTTTGAGTGCGCCCTCATTTCCAGTTCACGCAGAGCAAACAACTTGTCCAATTTGGATGTTTCGTTTGTGCCCGTTCTTGCGATTAGTCACCATGAAAGCCAAGTCCCAACCACCCGAGGCATCCGTCGGCCGAAGCGGCGCTTTGATTTGAATGTAGTAGATCATATATCGTGTTCTAATCACATCAACTCGGAGTGATCTTTAGGGGCTCAGGAATGTTGTGTTGGAAAAAAATTAGATGATATGAAAAATAAGAATCGTTTGAAATATGTTGAAAAAGATGAGAAAATAAGATTAATTATTTGAGTCATGCAAGCACCGTCCTTAAAGATAATTTTGTCCCTTGGAGTACGAAACTTGGTTCTTTCTTTATTCTACATAAAATAGTAGAATAACGAGGAACGACGTTATGTGTATAACCAAGTGAAGAAAGGAAAGACATCTAAAAAATAATATACTTGTTTTGATATATATCTCACTTTTCAATTACGTTCGGAGTAACAATTTGTAAGTAAAAAAAAAAGAGAGCCGTTTTTCATCAGCAATTCTTGCATTTAATTGAAAAACCTTACAAATCATTTGCAAATTGATAGCAGTCAAGATTGTTACAAAAACATTACTAAACCATTATAAAATGTTACGAAACCATTATAAATTAATGGCGGATGACGGTAAAAAACTGTTACAATAACAATACATTTCAATATATACAACAATTCCCCACATATTTCAAAAGGCTTTGAAAAGAAATGAAAGAATAATGTTGGGTTATTGGAATGTAATGCATCGAAACTGGTGCTTGTTAGGCTATAAATCAGACCTAGAAAGAATGAAATATAACGAAATCATTGGAGAAGTTTGAAACTTCTATAAATCAAGAATTTCTTTTTATGAATTATAAATTTCACCAATCACATTACACTCCCACAAATTTCGTTGTTCAACGCGGTTTTGCGCTAATAAGCCATGCACGTGTTTGTTTTATTTATAAGTGCTCTAGATTATTGCCAATAATTCTTATAGGAGCGGCCCTACTTCACACCTGTATGGGTGATTCCATCTAGTGCATTCGACAATTTAATACACCACCAATAATGGCTATCGATTCATTAAGAGCTTAGCTCAACCTCTTTTTCCTTGCAGTCTAGCATTATTTCACCTTAGGAGGGGCAAAAATTTTAATAGCGCATCATTAGATCAACAAGTGACTTATTATTACCAATATGAATCTAATCATGGGATCGCCAATCACATAGGTTGGGTTATCATCACTGCTATTTTTCTTCCACTGGCTTGAGTTTCATTCCCCTTGATGTATAGTCAGAGGATCGGCCAAAACAATCGGTGGACATAATTTCATCTTTAAGCAATTGTTTTACCACATCACGTCTCAATCGGACGTGACTCTTTTTACCATTGAAAGTTTCATTCTTTGCAATGGTATTATAGCTTTGCAATGGCAATTGCCACTTGGCAATCATGATACATAAAAGGTGTTGGTTTCATTCCCTTTCCCAATAACTTGAGCAGTTTTCAAATTACCAAAAAATAATAACTATTTTCTTCTCTATCCCCTATTGGACCGTAGGAGTATCAACATTTTGTTTGTACAAGTTAAGAATAATGCTAAAGAGAGGAATATAGAACTTTTTGTATATTCGATGACGAAAAGATAAGGAGTACATGAGCCCATTTATAGGCTTTACAAGTCAACTATCTACGATAACAAAATATTACACAATGAATCACAAAGATATCTAGAATATTATAGATATCCAAAATATCGTAAAGATATCACAAGATATATTATATATTTAGGACATCATGAAGATATCTAGAATATTATAGATATCTGTAATATCGTAAATAATCTAAGATAATCTAAATATATCTAACATCCCCCTTCAAACTCCAGTCCCCTCAAACTCAATGTGACATCGAAGAAGTCAATTGGAGTTTGAAGAAAAGATCTCGAAAATGCCCAGGTGGATGTTCTTTTGTGGATATATTAGCAGTCTGATACAAGTCGTACAGTACCATGAAGCACATGAGATCGTATGAAATGACAGTCAATTTCAATATGCTTGGTGCGCTCATGGAAATATCATTATGAGCTATTTGAATAGCACTCCAGTTGTCACAATAAATTATTGTTCCACTGTTATGACGGAGTCCCATGTCTTCTAATAATCATCGTACCCAAGTAATTATGATGTCGTATTAGCAAGAGCACGATATTCCGCTTCAGTGCTAGATCGAGCTACAACGGTCTGTTTCTTGCTACGCCATGATATAAGTGAGGTACCAAGAAAGAAGTAGTAGCATGTAGTAGAGCGACGATCAAGAGGATCACCAACCCAATCAGCATCTAAATAAACCTTCAACTCCAAAATAGAATCAACGGAAAAATGAAGATCATGAAATAAGGTACCCTTCACATAGCGAAGAATACGAAGGACAACGGCAAAGTAAATCATACGTGGTGTAGTCATGAACTGACTGACTACGTGAACAGCATAAGCAATGTCAAGACGAGTAACAGTGAGAGATACAATACTACCAACTAACTGTCGATAAAGTGTAGGATTTGAAAGAGCAGTTCCATCGTTAGCATTAAATTTGGCATTTGCCTCAATTGGAGTTGTAGCAGTCTTAGTATCAGTGAGTCCTGCGCGAGAAAGAAGATCGGTGGCTTATTTTGCTTGAGAAAGATAATAGCTCAAGGAGTTTGAGGTAACCTCAAAGCCTAAAAAGTAATTGAGTCGCCTGAGATCTTTCATTTCAAACTTCTGACTGAGATATTGCTGGAGCTTTGTAATACCGATATGATCATCGCTGATAATAACCATGTCATCCACGTATAATAGCAGTGGGATATACCCACGAGATGTTTTCTGAACGAATAGTGCATTGTTATAGGGATTGCATCTAAAACCAAGATATTCCATGGTGGAACTGGACTTAGAATACCATGCACGAAGAGCTTGTTTCAGTCCATATAAAGCTTTACGTAAACAACACACTTTATTAGAAGTAGTAGTATATTCTGGAGGAAGCTCTATAAATACTTCCTCAGCAAGATCGCCATTAAGAAAGGCATTTTTAACATCTATCTAGAATAGAGGTCATTTCTTAATAGTTGCAACAGCAAGAAAACTTCTAACAAAAGTAAGACGTGCAACTAGAGCAAATGTCTCAACATAGTCAATTGCATACTCTTGAGTGAAGCCTTTTCCTACTAGTCTAGCTTTGTAGCATGCCACCGTACCATCTGCCTTAGTCTTGATCTTATACACCCATCTACAACCTATAGCTGACTTTCCAGGAGTCAAATCAACAAATTCCCAAGTGTGAGAATTGTTTAGCGCATGGGATTTGCTTGCTGGCCGTTACTTCACCTCGAACATTGCTCATCAGTATCAGCTGTTAGGCAATTTGCATCGCATGCATCAATAGACAAGTCAATCTATTAACGATTTTTTGTCCGCTATGCATGCTGTTTGGGATCAATTGGCTTTATCAGAGCCGCAATGGGAAGCTGATGCTGATGCTCGGAAGTTCACCGAATATTGCGAAAATATCACAAAATATTCAGAATATTATAGATATCTGTAATATCGTAAATAATCTAAGATAAATAGCTAACTACCCCTCGCGCACCACCATCCTATCGTTCAAGAAAAACTAAGACTCTGTTTATTTCACAGAAAATATAACGTTTTTTGAAAACGTTTTCAATATATTTACGTAATAATAATGCACATTTCCAATGTACATAACTAGGAAAACTATTGCTTAATTCCTAAACCTTATGTAAGACATGCGATCTAGTCCTAAACAAGTTTAATCAAGTCGTAAAACTTTACTGGGAAATGTAACCGAGTCTTAAAATTTTTAGTTCATTCGGTTAAGTCCTAGAACTTTATTATTGAGAAATGCAATGAAGCCTTAAAACTCAAATGGAAATAGTAATTTAAGGATGTTATGTAAGCAGCTTTAGGTTATTGTTCATAGAATGGACTCTGATTACACTTCTTAAAAGAGATTCGGGACTTAACTGGACCAATTAAAAAAATTTAGGGCTTGATTACATTTCGTACACAAAATTTAGGACTTCCATTACACATCTCCATACTTATTTGGAGAACTCCCAAGAACTTATTAGGCTCCGTTGTTTCGCAGAAAATGAATCATTTGAAAAATATTTTCCTAAAAACGATCATTTATATCACTTACAAAAATAAACGAATGATAAAAAATTTCACCGTTTACGAAAATATTTAGATATAAATTATTATCAATAATGAAATATTTTCCATAGACTAATTATTTCAAGCATTACAAACTTTTATTTTTAAAAAAATATTTTCTAAATTAATCATTTTCGCGAAACAAATGTAGGTTTAGATTTGTGCCCAGTCTTCTTAAGTCCAAAACAACAGTGCCCCACGCACATGGCTTCAGGCCATCGCCGCTAATGCGTGAGATTCCGCAAGCGGATACTGACTTTTGAGTGCTCTCATTGTCAGCTCACGCAAAGTAAAAACAAACTTCTTTGCAATTGGCTGAAGCGGACACGACTCATCAACAACATGAAAGCCAAAGTCCCAACCCCCCAAGGTGTCGGTCGGCTGGAGCGGCGCTCTGATTTGAATTTAGTAGATCTTATATATCGATTCGGAGCGATCTTAGGGGTCGGGAATATCGTCCTGTGAGTGGAGTCTTATATGATGTACATGAATGAGATGTTTTGGGTAAATCGACACTGATTAGTTAGATTGAAAATAAAAACGTCACGTTGTGACAAATGAGCCCCAATTATATTGGGTTCGAGCTCAACGTTGGTCATAGTTGTAGCGAGGTGTAGACTGTAGAGGAGAGAGAGAGAGAGCAAGAGATAGTGGAACATGGGCGAGGGAGGGAGAGGGGGCGGACCTGCAGTGACGACGAGTCGGGGCGTCTTTGTCCTTGCCCACGGCGGGGTTGGAGGTATCAGTAGTCCAATGGTTGTGATGCGAAAATAAAATATTTAAGAAAAAAAAATTCTCTTTCCTTTTGTTCCTAAACAAAAATGAGATTTTATATCGCTCAATCTTTTCCTTTATTTACCTCTTTGTTCCATTACTTGCTAAATCTAAAACTGAAAAATACTTAATATGATTTTTCAGCTTACATTTTAAGCATAGAAGTTTTAGTTTTTTTTTTCAAATCAATGCATCAAAGTGCCATTTGTGAATTCATAATATGAAATTCAAATTTATGATGAGAAATTGGAATATCACGATATTATTGGCAAATGGTACGATGAATCATAATTTTCATGATACATGATTAAATTATGACCAAAATTTTTCGTTTAAAAGAAAGATACTTACGTCGAAATAATTTGTTAACCGAAAAAAAAAAATTGTTACATCGCACGGCCAACTGAAGTATGATGGTGGTGCAATGTCACCCTGTGACCTTTGTCTGTTCCGTCTCTCCTCCTATTAATATGCATGTCCCGTCCATTTGATAAAGAACTACCATAAACAGAGAGCCAATCCTCCGTAACTCTTCTTTGAGAGATAGAGAGAGAGAGAGAGAGAGTGTATGGAAGTCGATAAGGTCACGACGGTTCGTTTCTTCCTTGCGTGGTGCCTGCTCGCGACCACGGCGATTGCTCTGGCCGGCTGTCGCGGAGCGGGAGCCTCTCCGGAAGCCAGCAACGCCACCGTCACTCGGCGGTGCCACGGCGGCGAGTGCCTCATCGCCTACCGGCAACCGGAGGTGGAGCTGATGGCGGTGCTGGACCCGGAGCGCACCCTGGGCAGCATACTGGCCGACGGCAAACCCATAGACATCTTGAAAGCGACCGCTAATCAGTATGGCCCCGCCCGTTGTGGCCGCTTCGCACCGGGACGCTACACGTCCTGCACTACCAGGAAAGGTCCCAACCCTCGCTACAGCCCTTATTACCGTAAAGGGTATTAGGTAAGATCATGGATTGTGGAAATGCTTTGTTAATTCTCCTTATCAGTTGGTGGATCTTCTTTTCAAAGATATTGTCATCACCGTGATTGCTTTTCGAAAATAGGGTCTAATGCATGTGCCAAAATTAGTTCTATTCTGCGTCCTGAAAATAGAATTATTATGCAACTCGAGGCTTACAGCTTCTTCCATTCGATTGTTATTGTTTGCTCATGGTGTTAGGCGAGATGCTCCCTCTTTTCGCTCCCCGATAATTAGACATTACCGCTCCCAAGTAATGCACACGTCGCGCGCTCTCTCTCTCTCTCTCTCGACAAAATATTCAACGAAACCGGCAAATCTAATGGAACTCACGTGGTTGCAACTAGGGATGATCGATTTTCGGACGGTCCAACTTTCCACCCAAGAACTGGAAAACCGAACAGAGGGACCGATTCTCAATTTCTAAAAACGGGAATCGGACTGGTGCCCCCTAAAACCGGACTTGATCGGGCCGACCGGTCCCCGGTGGGCCGATGGAACCCATGGCATATTTAGTTTTTTTATTTGTCGTTAATGTTCAAGATGCAATTGAAAATGTTCTTGATGATCAATGCGTATCTACAATCAGTGAGTTACGTGAAACATTGTAGGTTTCGCATAGATTTTTTTCAATTTGTGGCAAAATTTAGTTGGAATGAGCAATTACTATTGTGTTTTGATTTGTTCTTGTCATCTTACTCATATGCATAAGTAAAGGTAGTCACTCTATCCTTGAATGGCCTTTCTTTGTGCAATAGGAGATAAATTTGGATTTTTTCTTTTATAGATTTTTAAAAATTAAAAAAATTAAAAAATAAATAAGTCCGGTCCAGGTGGTCTTGAGGAGCAATTCCACACTTGGAACTAAGAACCATACCAAAATTCACCAATTTTAATTTTATAAAACTGAGAACCGGACTGATGCCCCCGAGAATCACCCAGAACAAGCCGATCTGATTTGATCCAAGCGGTTTCCCATATGAGCAATTTCTTTTGCTCACCCCTAGTCGCAACACATTATCAAGCTCCATTTACTAGAGAGGAAAGTGTCGACAACAGATATGGTTGGCGTGATGGTCGGCATTGACGTTGGCGGTGCCAATGTGCACGATGTCCTATCGATGGGGAGGTCGGCCCGATTAGGGGTCTCAAAACTTTGACAAAAGGACCTCTCCATAAAGTTAGACAGTCATCTCACGAGAGTCCCACGATACCAACGCTTAGTATATCGGTTATGTTACTTTCTCGAGAGAGCATCGCTGCGTATACGTATTGAATAAGGTCACGTTTAACAAAGTTCCATCACATTATTCATAGTAGGTCAATGCGATAATCAAGTATCCTTCTTCTTCTCGGATTGCTTGCAGCGTCATGGATCCACGAATGAGGTCCACCTCGTAGATATGCAAACCATTGCCGACGCTCCCATCCAAACCGTGAGCCATCCACATCGTACTTAAAGTTCACATTGCCAAATTCTCGGTTTCATTTAGGCACCATTTATATCACGGAAAACATTTTTCTCATTTTTTGGTATTTGGTTCGCTTAGGAAAATTATTCAATGGAAAATTTATGTTTAAATTTAGGAAAATGATTTCTTCTTTAAAAAATCGAAAATCATTTTCCAAAATATGATTAATATCAATGCTTGACCCGCAACTCTACGCTTAGGCATGGAAATCCCAATGCTGGTTTACGGCGTTCGGAACCAAATCTCTGGCACCCGGGACCGGTTTCATGGAATCTAGGCCGTGACCTTGGTGCCAATGCACGGATCCTCGGTGCTTACGCCTGAGTCCATCGAGGCCGAGCCCGAGACGTTAGCGCCCGTACCTAGGGCCCTGGCGCTCGCGCCCAAGTTCATCTAGGCCGGGCCTAAATCCTCGGTGCTCATGCATGATGCATCGACACCGGAGCCCGAGTCCATAAAGGCCGAGTGCTGGATCCCAGTATTCGAGCCCAAATCCCCAACGCCCGAGCGTGGGTCCACAAAGGCAGTACATGGATCCATTGAGGCCTAGTCCGGGACCCCGGTGCCCGAGATTAGGTCCATCGTGCTCCGATACTTGGCGCCTTGGTTGGTCCATTGAGGTCAAACCCAGGACTCTAGTGCTCTTACCCGGCTCCCCGGCTGCATATACGCAAGTTACTAGCACTTAAATAATACATGCCTGTTTAGAAAAATCAAATCGGATTTTTTATATTAAATAACGGAAAATATTTTCTAGTACATTTTTTTATTTTCAGCTAAATATCGAAAAATATTGTTATTATCTTAGAAAATGAATTCCTGAAATTTTTTGCGAAATAAACAGAACATTGATCATCAGAATGTTACTTTTTCTTTTTCTTTTTTTATCTATACTCCTCTAACTCTCCTCTCTCGTATTTTTACTCTACTTTTTGCAGACCACAATCATTTTTTTTTTGTGATTTTCATCAGGAAAGTTAGAGATAAATAGGGATTAGGGAATCAATGACTGACCTTGCTTGCGTGGAGACATGCGGGACCATCGACCCTAAAGAAGAGGAAAAGAAAAGGGTTAATATCACCAAAAATCCCAAACGGGTACATCTGTGATAATTTTACTCTGAACTAATTTTTTGACCACTAAAAATCCCAAACTTGTACACTAATGATAATTTTACCCAAACCTAATTTTTTGACCACTAAAAACTCCAAACTGATATATTTGTGATAAATTTGCCCTCCGTTAGGGGCCGTTAAATTGAATTAATATCACGAAAAATCACAAATTGATAAACTTGTGACAAACAGAGGGGTAAAACCCCAAACTAGTACACCTGTCAACTATCACGTGTCATCAAACTTAACAATTTGACAATAAAATTTAATGGAAACAAACGGAGGGTAAATTTTTCATAAGTGTACCAGTTTGGGATTTTTGGTGGTCAAAAAATTAGTTCGGGGTATACCGATTTAGGGTTTTTGTGGTCAAAAAATCAGTTCGGAGTAAAATTGTTACAGGTGTACCAATTTGTGAATGTAGTAGATCATATATCGTGTTCTAATCGCATCGACTCGGAGTGATCTTTAGGGGCTCAGGAATGTTGTGTTGGAAAAAAATTAGATGATATGAAAAATAAGAATCGTTAGAAATCTGTTGAAAAAGATGAGAAAATAAGATCAATTATTTGAGTCATGCATGCACCGTCCTTAAGGATAATTTTGTCTCTTGAAGTACGAAACTTGGTGCTTTCTTTATTCCACTTAGAATAGTAGAATAACTAGGAACGACGTTATGTTATGTGTATAACCAAGTGAAGAAAGGAAAGATATGTAAAAAGAAAAAAAGAATATTCTTGTTTTGATATATATCTCACATTTCAATTACGTTCGGAGTAACAATTTGTAAGTTAAAAAAAAATAGCCGTTTTTCATCAGCAATTCTTGCATTTAATTGAAAAACCTTACAAATCATTTGCAAATTGATAGCAGTCAAGATTGTTACAAAAACGTTACTAAACCATTATAATATGTTACGAAACCATTATAAATTAATGGCGGATGACGGTAAAAAACTGTTACAATAACAATACATTTTAATAAATACAACAATTCCCCACATATTTCAAAAGGCTTTGAAAAGAAATGAAAGAATAATGTTGGGTTATTGGAATGTAATGCATCGAAACTAGTGCTTGTTAGGCTATAAACCAGACCTAGAAAGAATGAAATATAACGAAATCATTGGAGAAGTTTGAAACTTCTATAAATCAAGAATTTCTTTTTATGAATTATAAATTTCACCAATCACATTACACTCCCACAAATTTCGTTGTTCAACTCGGTTTTGCGCTAATAAGCCATGCATGTGTTTGTTTTATTTATAGGGAAAAGACTACCAAAAACTCCAAACTATGCCACCTGCGACACATTTACCCTGAACTTTTTTTTGTGACACCAAAAACCCCAAACTATGCTATTTGTGACACATTTACCCCAATGTACTTTAGTCCATGGACATTTTTGTCTTTTTGCTTTTTCTTTTTTTCTTTTGCTTTTTTTTCCTTTCCGACGAGGGTGGCCCTCGCCGGCGTCGGCGAGGGCGGCCCTCGCCGGCGTCTAGCGAGGGCGGCCCGCGCGCCGGCTCGGGCGAGGGTCGCCCTCGCCCGGCGTCCGGGCGAGGGCGCCTCGCCGGCGAGCGAGGGCGGCCCTCGCCCGAGGCTCAAGCGAAGGTGACCCTTGCCCGACGCCGGTGAGGGTCGCCCTCGCCTCGAGTCGGGCAAGGGCCGCCCTCGCTCGCCCAGGCGAGGCGACCCTCGCCCGACGCCGGCGAGGGCGGCCCTCGCCGGAAAGGAAAAAAAAAAGAAAAAGCAAAAAAGATGAAAATGCCCATGGACTAAAGTACATTGGGGTAAATTTGTTACAAATAGCATAGTTTGGGGTTTTTGGTCTTACAAAAAAAAGTTCAGGGTAAATGTGTCACATGTGGCATAGTTTGGGGTTTTTTATGGTCTTTTCCCTTATTTATAAGTGCTCTAAATTATTGCCAATAATTCTTATAGGAGCGGCACTACTTCACATTCCATCTAGTGCATTTGACAATTTAATACACCGCCAATAATGGCTATCGATTCATTAAGAGCTTAGCTCAATCTCTTTTTCATTGCAGTCTGACATTATTTTCACCTTAGGAGGGGCAAAAATTTTAATAGTGCATCATTAGATCAACAAGTGACTTGTTATTACCAATATGAATCTAATTCATGGGATCGCCAATCACATAGGTTGGGTTATCATCACTGCTATTTTTCTTCCACTGGCTTAAGTTTCATTCCCCTTGATGTATAGTCAGAGGATCGGCCAAAATCAATCGGTGGACATAATTCCATATTTAAGCAATTGTTGTAAGACATCACGTCTCAATCGGATGTGACTATTTTTACCATTGAAAGTTTCATTCTTTGCAATGGTATTATAGCTTTGCAATGACGATTGCCACTTGGCAATCACGATACATAAAAGGTGTTGGTTTCATTCCCTTTCCCAATAACTTGAGCAGTTTTCAAATTACCAAAAAATAATAACTATTTTCTTCTCTATCCCCTATTGGACTGTAGGAGTATCAACATTTTGTTTGTACAAGTTAAGAATAATGCTAAAGAGAGGAATATAGAATTTTCTGTATATTCGATGATGAAAAGATAAGGAGTACATGAGCCTATTTATAGGCTTTACAAGTCAACTATCTACGGTAACAAAATATTACACAATCAATTACAATCAATCACAAAGATATCTAGAATATTATAGATACCCAAAATATCATGAAGATATCACAAGATATATTATAGATATTTAGGACATCATGAAGATATCCAGAATATTATAGATATCTGTAATATCGTCAATAATCTAAGATAATCTAAATATATCTAACATCCCCCTTCAAACTCCAGTCCCCTCATACTCAATGTGACATCGAAGAAGTCAATTGGAGTTTGAAGAAAAGATCTCGAAAACACCCAAGTGGATGTTCTTTTGTGGATATATGAGCAGTCTGATACAACTCGTAGAGTACCATGAAGCACATGAGATCATATGAAATGACAGTCAATTTCAATATGCTTGGTGCGCTCATGGAAACATCATTATGAGCTATTTGAATAGCACTCCAGTTGTCACAATAAATTATTGTTCCACCGTTATGAT